GGCAGTAGACTCAGGGTCGCAGGTGCTCAGGCTGCAGGTCAGGAGGGGCAGGGACGGCTGTGACCACGCTGCCCACGGCCGCTCTGCCCTCAGCCTCTGCTCTGTGACTGGGTTGGGGTCGTGTCCTAAGCAAAGGGAGTGGACACCGCGTCGTAGCAGGATTGATGGCTCGTTTGACAGATCCTCCCTCAGGCGGGCATGGCTGGAAGGGGAGCCCAGGCACCGAGTTTTAGGCCTAGGAATTGGGGGTGGGACTGAGGGCTTGGTCTGAGCTCTGACTCCGGCCAGTGAGCGGCCTGGCTGAGCCCCTCTGTCTGGAGGCATTTGTGAGTCTGGGCAGAACTGCACAGAACTGCGCAGCATCGGAAGCCCAGGGTGTCAGACCCGCACAGCCAGTGACGCGGTGATCAGGGTCCCAGGAGCCCCCTGGGCGTGTGCACCACACGCCATGAGTGAGCTGAGTCACCTGGCTGCCTTTCCCAGCGGTGCAGACCTGGCGTGGGCTAATGTCTGACTCCCGGTGGGTCCCAGGAAGCCGCTCTGAGGTGGCTCCCTGCCCTCCTGCCATTTCCCAACCCCTCCCACCTCTGTGCCAGCCCACCCAGCCTGTGCCTGCCCAGGGCCTCTGCCCGGCCTCCCCTCCTGCTCACTGGCCGGGGCTCTGCTCTCCCCACCCCCTCCCCCTTCCCAACCCTCTGTCCTGGTCTCCTCCGCCCCTGGGGGCGGTTCTGCTGCATTCACCTCTGGGGCTGGTACACAGCAGCCTCTCAGACGAGTGGGGACAGGGCGAGCCCTGCCTCGGCCAGCCCGCATCCCCAACCTGCTGTTTCCCTGTCAGAGGCTGTGGAGAGGCTCAGAGAGGCTGTGTGGCCTGGTGACCATCACCAGGTAGAAACCAGAGCACAGGGGCTGCACCCAGGCCCAGGGCACGTTGCAGGCCTCTATCTCCAGCCGAGTGAGAGCTGCTCAGTTGGCCGGGCCAAGTTCAGACACCCGGGTGCCTGCTGTTGGGGGCTTCAGATGGGGCCTGGATAGAGACTTGTGGGCAGGCACACATCCGCACAAAGGCAGAGAACTGGAGGGTTTGTGTATACGTGTCTGTACGTGTGTGTCACGTGTGTGTCTGCAGCTGATCTAGGGCTGGGCACCTTGCCTGTGCAGCCCCAAGGTTGGGAGCAGTAAGGGGGAAGCCAGCCGTTCGGCTGAGGTCCGTGCTGAGCAAAGGCCCTGGGACAGAGCCTGGGGAGGTGGAGTAAGGGCATCCCTGGGGGCCTGCAAGCTGGTGGCTGCGACTGTAACATCTGAGCTGCTGCTGGGGCAGAGACCTCCACCTCCAATCCCCTTGTTCAGCACCCTTTGAAAAGCATGGGACAGAATGGAAAAGGGAGGGGCAGATGAACTCCAGGTTCGGCTGCCTGAGCAGACTAAAAGCTGATGGTTTCCTTTCAGGCCGCCGAGCTGGGTGTCCAGCGGTGAGGGATGTCAGGACAGACCCAGCCTGCTCCCCGGGCTCCCCTCTGACAGTCAGGCTGCTTCCCAGGGAGTTCTGGGGAGCAGTGGCCGGCCACGACCCCTGTGACCTTGAGCCAGGCTACCATCCCTAGGCCCCAGGGACCCCAGAGGCTGCCTGCTCGTGAGCGGCCCCTGCCTTGTTTCCCGCCCGCACTTGCATGGTGGGCTAATTACATTTCCTGACCGGATTTGGGTGTTTTATGGTGAATTAGAGGCTCCTGCCAGTTCCCTCCCCATGAAACACCCCATCATCTTTTTTCCTTTGGCCTTTTTTTGCTTTTTAGTTGCCGATCGCATCTAGAAACTGGGCTGCTTGTGGGCGGCAGCAGGAGCCTCATTTCAGTCCCAGATCTCTGTGGATGAAGGATGTGGATTTTTTTTTTTCCAGTACTGGGGATCGAACTTAGGACCTTGTGCTTGTGAGGCAGGCGGCGGCACCAATGAGCTACATCCCTGGCCCAGGACGTGGGTTTTTGTGTGGCTCTGTTGCTTCTTGAAAGTTGGGGCAGACCAGCTCTGACACGGCTTGGCCAGGCTCTGAGTTTTATCATGCTTTCCCATTTCCTTCTGCAGCAAACCGTGTAAACGACACCACCCCCTGTTCTACCGCTGGTGACAGCTGTAAAGAGCAAGCTGCTTTCGTTAGTGCCCAGATGCTTGTTCGCTTGAGATGATGTTTTTTAAAAAAATACCAAAAAAAAAAAAACCCAGCTTCCATAATAGAGAAAAGAATTATCCAAAGCTATAAACAAAGGAGGAGAAAAGTCCAAAAAACTATGAACCATATGAAAGCATTTGTGAGACTAAGATAAGTACAATTTTGCTTTAAAGTAAAATATTTGTATCTTTGTAAAAACGTATTCAAAGTAAACGTAAAATCTGTACCACAGAAGGGAGGCGTGCGTGAGGTCTGGGAAGACTGTCGCGTGCAGAGCCCGCATGCCCGTCCTTCGTGGCTCCGGTCTGTCCTCAGGCCTGCACCTCCGTTTCCAGGAAGGTGAGGACAGGCTAGCACATTCCAGGGCCTTCAGCTCCTACCAGGAGCAGCCGCCCATCCCCTCCTCACCTCACGCTGCCAGCTGTATGGCTGGCACAGCACGGGTGGCACAGGGACCTGGTCCCCAGACCCACTGGCCCTGTGTGCTGACTGCCATGGGGTGTCCAGGGGCTTAGAGGGCCGCAGCCTGCCCTCTCCGTGTCAGCCCCCTTCTGGAAGCCAGGTATTTAAGGACGAGGATGTTCCATCGCAGCCAAGCGTATGCGGGTATTTAGGAAGTCACTGTGCCTCCCCCAGGGAGGAGCCACGAAAACATTTTAAAAATTTTATTTCCTTTCTTTAAAAAAAATGAAGATAGTAAGTGCAATTTTATGAAAAATTTCCATAGTTTTTATAACTCTGTAATCAAGAAGGACTGCATTTATTTACTTATTATTTATTATTTTGCAGCACTGGGGTTTGAACCCGGGGCCTCCTCACTGATCTACACCCCTAGACCTTTTTATATTTTGAGACAGGGTGTCCCTAAATTGCCCAGGATGGGCTCACACTTGAGGTCCTCCTGCCTCAGCCTCCCAGAGTGCTGGGGTTGCAGATGTGTACCATTACGCCTGGCTCTGATGGGCAAGGATGTAAAGAGCCCACCTCAATCATGGAGGCCTGAAAGGGAGCGGCGCTAACCCTGCTGGTAGGGAGGAGTAATACCAACTCTCAGGATAGCAGTTTAACAGCAGGCAAGAAGGGGCTTTAAAATGTTCGTAGTCTCCAGTATGACAGGTTCCCTTCTCAGCACGCATAGGGAAGAAACAAGCAGAAGGGCAGGGACTCTGTCCCGGAACTGTCTCGCAGGAACGGGGGACAGTCCAAGGGGCTGCCGGGAGGGAAATTGTTCCCGAAACACAGTGGGCCACAAACATCACGTCACTCAGCCGTTACAGCGGCGCTGATAAAGGATTCTCATGGCAGAGGAAAATGCTCGCCTTCTAAGGGGAATGGCAGGCTATGAACCCGCCGGGAGGAGAGTGTGAATCACGCTCAGGAGAAAGCCCAAACATGACGGGCTTTACACTGTAATCTCAGGCCTCTCTGCAGTCCCTCCGCAGTAGACACCGTGTCCCAGACCATAGAGTACTTGCCAGGGGCAGAGCCCGAGTGGTGCAGGCATTGATCGGCACTGGCTGGCAAAGGAGAGCCGTACCGGTGAGCCCTGGAGTCACTTCCTGTCTCGCCCCCTGCGGTCCCAGGCCGTAGTGGCTCGAGGCTGAGGCTCACTCAGGGACGGGAGCGGAGGTGGTGGACGGAAGCAGCAACTCCCACTCGAGTCTGCCCGTCTCAGATGGGACCCCAGCCCTGCACCTCTCCACACCTCAGCCCGTCCTGCCCTAATGGGGTGTACGGTGGGGGCTTTGCTTTGCAGCATCCCATTCTTTTCCTGAAGAACCCTTTGGGTCTGCTTGGCCTGCTGTGCAGCGTCTGAACCCCGCACATATCAGAAGCACACACAGAGGTTGGGGCCACACACCCCCAAGGCTGCCCTGCCGATGTGGGGAGCTGGGTGCGGATCTCAGCAGGGAGCAGGGGCTGCACCGTCAGCCCACTGACGCCGTGCCCTGTCCCCAGGACCTGCAGGTGATCAGCACGGATGAGAGCCAGGTGTTCGTGGCGGTGCAGGAGTGGTACCAGACTGACACCTACAACCTGTACCAGTCGGACCCGCGCGGTGTGCACTACGCGCTGGTGCTGGAGGACGTGCGCAGCTCGCGGCAGGCGGAGGAGAGCGTGGTCATCGACATCCTCGAGGTGGGCCTGTGCCTCCCTAACCCATCTGTGTCCTGGCTCCTGCTTCCCTCTGTCCTGTAACCCACATACAGTTGGGGAAACTGAGGCTCAGGGTGGGCAGACGACCTCCCCAGGCAGCCAGAGAGGGGAACCAGAACCCCCACTGCTTGTGGCATCATCCCTGGACCTGCAGGCTCTGCGGGGCCACCGAGCCCTGGACCCCTGCCGCCCCTGCCACCGCGAGACAGGGAGGGGCGGGTGATGGAGGGTGTGGTGCGGCCTGCTCTGCCCATGGAACGTGTGACGTGCCGTCTCAATGCCACAGGGACAGACACGCAGGCGCATCCCCTCCAGCACCTGCCCCAGTGTGGGTGCCTCAGGACACAGCTGGGGTGGGAGTTGGGGAGGGCTTCCAGGAGGAGGCTGCAGACAGTGGCGGCCAGGCGAGGAGCAGGGAACAGCATGTGCACAGAAGCACAGACCTACGCAGAGCCCACAGCAACAGCAGGGGCTGTGAGAAGCCCATGTGGCTGGGGGCAGCTGTGGCACAGACCGGCTGGGAGCCCTCAGCAGGGACCCTGCCTCTCTGAGCTCCTCCCCACGAGGATGGAGGAGGTGCTGCCAGGTGCAACTCTGGACTTGGCCTGCCAGGGTCCGTTTCTAAGCTCTGGTGTGTTGCTGTGTGGCCTGAGGTGGGTTCTTAACCTTTCTGTGCAGTGCCTGCCTGTTGGGGCTGCTGTGAGGACTCCGGGGCCTCCCCCAACTGCACACAGACCCGCACCCTGGCCCTGGGTTTCCATGGCGCTGCCTTCCCTGGTGTCAGGGTAATCATGGGAAGGGCTGGCTCGGCAGTGGCATGTGGCACAGGGGGTGGGGGCACCGGCCGGCTCTGTGGCCTTCGCAGGGACCGCTGTGTGGGGATCAGGACAGATGTTCTGGGCCCGAGCTGCCAGCAAGCGCAGCCTTGGTGGGCTGGCTGTGAGGTCCGGGGCTGGAGGTTCCGTCCATGCTGGAGCTGGGGTCAGGCGCCCCCTCTGCTGCCATGGTGCAGCTGGGAGACAGCACAAAAGTGATCTGAGCCACAGCCCCTAAAGAAAATGTCCCCGTCCTCACCCCAGGCGCTACCCAGGGACTCCATGGGGAGCAGACTCGGCTAGGCTCACCCGACTTCCCGGGTCCCCTGAGTCCGGCGGTCAGGGTCCAGACAGAGACTGACGAGGTGGTGGTCACCAAGGAGGCCGAGGGTCCTGGGGGGCCTGGAGCCATGCAGCCTCAGCCTGGGCCACCAGGGCCCTGGGAGTCGGCTGAGCGTCTGTGGCTTGAGGCCCCAGTTTGTGGGAGCCACAGGGGAGACCTGGCCTCACCCGGAGAGATCGTCTGGGCCCAGCATGCTCTTGGAGGGGCTGGGGCGCAGAGGGGGAGCGGAAGGGATCAGGAGGTGTGGACAGGGAAGCCGAGGCAGGGACCTCCTGGTGCTGTGGGCTGAGCTGTAGGGACACGTGGGGCTCCTCCAGAGCCACAGGGAGACAAGTGCTTGCCGCTGGTACCCCAGAGTTCACGGTGAGTTGTTACAGCAGCTGTTGTGGGCACTCAGAAGGAAGGCGCCGCTAGCACAGATCTTGGTACAGGTGCAATTGACTTTTAAATTGGCAGAGGCTGAAGAATTGTGAGCACGTGATAGAAAAACCCCAGATTGCCTTGGACAGATTGTTGGAAAATGGGCCTGAAAGGCAGCCTTAGTGAGACACAGAAGGAAGTGGGAATCTGCCGCTGGGAAAGGAGGGGTCCTGCCCGGAGGGGAGGAGGCGGGTGCCCACAGGTGTCTGCGGAGATTCACCGAGGACGAGGCGGATGAATGGGGTGTGACCTGGGTTCCTTAGAAGAGAGGGCCAGGGAGACGCAGGCAGGACTGTTCAGAAGGACCCTGCATTCCTCATGGGAGGCACAGCAGGGAGATTCGCTCTCAGGAGAGCGGGGGCTACAGAGAGAGTGCAGGGTGCAGCTGTCACATCTGTGAGACACCTCAGAAAGACGAGGTGTTGGGATCCTCAGTCCCCAGGAGCCTCGAGAAGAAGCAGGGTGACCGCAGCAGAAGCCACAGAATTGAGATGGGGTCACCAGGACAGGGGGAAGAGCCTGTCACAGGGGAGAACTGCTGTGACCTCAAGGACACCCGCTGAGAAGCCCCCGGGCCTGGGCCGGAGAGGACTGAGGTGGTCAGACCCACGAGTGTCAGGGGAAACGCTGTGGCTCCTGCTGCGACCCCTGGGGTGCCTCCCACCACCGCCCTACGGAAGCAGGTGACCTGTTTTCCAGTGTCTCGGACGCACAGCTGGCTCGCACCTAGCGCTCCCCCACTTGGTTTAGAAGCGGGTTTGGAACATTAGGCCTGACAAAGTTACGATGGGGCCGTGACTTTGAGTGAATGCTCTCCTGAGAGCAGAGCTTTGGGGACCCTGGGCAACTGTGCTGGGCTGAACAATGCCCCCCGGGCGTCCACTTCCTGATTCCCAGAGCAGTATTGTGACACACGACACCCAGGGGCACGGAGGCTGCAGGTGGATTTGAGGCCAGTGGGAAGATGACCGTGGATTTTCTGAATGGGCCGACGGGGCCACGAGGGTCCTTCAGAGTGGGAGAGGGAAGCAGAAGAAGAGGATCAGACAAAAGGATGTGACGAAGGGGACGCGGTGTCGCTGGTTCAGAAGAGGAAGGAGAGGATCTGGGAGCCAGAGATCGGGGGCAGCCTCCGCGAGCTGGAAGAAGGGAGAAATGCGTCCTCCCAGAAGCCTCCGGAAAGGAACACTTGTACTGGGACTCTTGTACCAGGCCAGAGCGCTGTGTCAGCCTGCTGACCTCCAAAACCATCAAACAATACAAATGTGTTAAAGCCACTGAGTCTGTGACGATCTGAAACGGTAGCAGCAGGAAACTAAGACACCATCCATCCATCTACTCACCACGCAGCATCCGCCCCGTTCTATCTACTCATCCATCCGTCTGCTCCCCCTTCATCCACTCATCCATCCGCCCCCGTCAATTCACCTACCCATCCATCTGTCTGTTCATCTGCCCTTCTACGTGGGCGCCCCCAGTGGTGTGCTACCCATGAGCCAGGACTTTACAGCGCTGCACATGGGACGCAGGAAAAGAACCAGCCTCCTGGAGCTGTGAGACACGTGCAAGACGTCACTCACTGAGCCTGGTCCTGCACCTGAGGGCACTGGTGACTTATTTCTACCGGTGCAACCATGACCTCTGCTTAGGATTCTCTGCATAAATCACAGAAGCCTCTGGGCCTTGGTTTCCTGGAGCACTTTTGAGAAACAATAGCACATGGGGTATGGGGTGCACAGAGGCAGCCTCTGCCCTCCAAGGTGTGAGGTACGGGGGCTTCATGTGCCTGTCCCACCACATGAGCCCGTCTCACGAAATGTGGTCTAAGTCGTCCATGCAATGAAGGCTCACTGAGGAGCTCGTCAAATTACCCACCCTTGCTCGTGCCCTGGACGCATGTGGGTCACCTCCATGAGCTTCATAGGACCCCAGAGAAGTGGACCAGCAGAGGGGACACAGGGCCATACACAGTGTGCTGGTCTGCACAGACCCCATCCCCTGGTCCTGGGCCTGTTCTGGTGGGAATGGTGTGGTCCTGGGGTGAGGGCAGGTCAGGGGACCCGGGTTGTCCTCACCATCCACGGCCAGAGGTCCTGGCAGCAGCTCGGTGCTGCACACGGGCTGCGTGCAGAGCCCTGGGGGGTCCCCAAGAGCCCCAGGTGGCAGCTCACAGTCCTTCTGTGCCCTCTGCCAGGTCAGAGGGGTGAAAGGGGTCTTTCTGGCGAACCGGAAGGTTGATGGGAAGGTGATGACCCTCATCACGTACAACAAGGGCCACAACTGGGACTTCCTGAGGCCACCCAGCAGCGACATGAACGGCAAGCCCACCAACTGCCAGCCCGTGAGTATCGAGCTGCCCAGCTGCATGGCTGCAAACTGCCTGGCACAGGTCAGGGTACCGGGGGTGGGGGTCGTGTATAGCCAGCATGGCTACAGACTGCTGGGGTAAAGGACCTAGGTCCGCAGGGCTTGGTGGGTGGTCCTGCTGTCCCAGCCCTGCCAGCCCACGGGTCTGGAGTCACTGCCTAGGTCAGCATCTCTCTGCCACCTCCTCTGGGGACCTGCGTGGACAGATGCCTCCCCCAGGGTCAGCAGAGGAGCAAGAGGGCGGATGGGGACAGGCAGGACTCTTCCCAGACTGGGGCTGGATGGCTTCACCCTCCTGATGCCCAGGGTTGGGGGCCCGGGCAACACCATGCCCAGGGAAGCCATGTGCCTTGGGTGGCGTCACCACCCCAAAGCTGGGCCTCTCTCTGGGCGCCCTTCCTGTGGGCAGGCACTGGAGCCCCCGGCTCTCTGGGGGGGGCGGTGGCTCCCAAGCGAGCTGGGGCTCCTGAACCCTGTGTGCCCAGGGGGCCTAGGGATCCCTGCTGGTGAGGATGGAGACCACTCCAAGGCTGCTGGTCCCCAGCATGAGGTGATGCCCAGTAACCAGCAGGGACCAGGGGTGAGCAGGCTGAGTGACTTCTGAGGGGTCACTGTCCCCTACTGCCCCTGGGAGCTCACTACCAGCACCCTGGAGCCCTGCCCAGTGCTGGGCACTCATGAGCCAGTCCGGAGCTACACAGAGCAGCAGGCTCAGCTCCCAGCTGACCATGTAAGCCGGGCCGGGCCCCCTGTGCCTCTGAGCCCACTGAGAAGGGAGGGAGGTGACTAAACTCTCAGTAGCAGAGTAGAGCTTGGCATAGTCCCTGATAGAGAGCAGAGGACACGAGAAGTCCTTTTTGGACTCATTCCCCTTCCTCCTCCCTCCCAGAAGCCTAGCATGTCCATTCCCTTTCTCTGGCAAACTCCTACTGAGACCTGAGAACCCCACCCACAAGTCCACTGGAGAAGTCTTCCTGGACATCTGTGCTTCTCTGTGTTTCACTCCAGTGGCCACAGCCAGGGACCACACTCTGGGGACACCTGAACCTACTCATTGCTCTGCAGCAGTTTCCTTGTGTGCAAAACAGAAAGAACTGTCCCTGTTTTACAGGCTTTCCAGACAGACAGCTGGTAGCACATCCATGCTGTGTATGCCGGGCCATGCGCCTGGCACTCGGGGTACAGCGGGAAGCACTCGGGAGACCCCTCTGTGGGCAGGGATTCTGCCTGGCACCAGCGGGGCTGTGAGAGGGAGGCCCTTATCCCTTCGGCCTGTGGGAACCATCGGCGAGCCAGGCCCTCCCTGTCTGACGCAGGCCTGAGCCTGGGGCTGGGAGCCCTCGGAATTGGCCTGGGCTCTGACAGCTCCACTCCCAGCTCAGGACGGCTCTGCACAGACCCCCATCCTGCCACTTAGGTGGACACCAGGCAGTCCAGCCCCTGCCCATGGCGTGGGGCTCATTACTGTAGCGCAGAAAGCCCCAGAGCGCAGACCTGCTGTGCAGGGGCTGCTGATCCTACCATAGTTGGCATAGTTAAGCATATTAACCTGAAAGCAAGTTTCTTCCAAGAACAGATTCTTGTCTGCAGTTATGCAGCTCAGCGAGGAGGTGAGATTTATATCCTGCCTTAAAATACTAAGATTCAGAGCTAGGCAGCCAAGGTGTGGCCTCAAGCAGGCACAGCAGGGAGCCTCCTACTCCTGGGAAACTCAGGACAGGACAGGGGCCACCTCAGGGCTGTGGTGTGGCGGTGCCCAGCACTCTGAGGTCAGGAGGAGCCGTGCTGCAGGCTGGTTTCTTGTCCTAAAGGTGATAACTGCTTCGGGTGGAATACTCAGGAAACTCAGGAGTTAGGCAAAGGGAAGTAAGGCTGAGTGTGGCCACACACACACACACACACACACACACACACACACACACACACGCTCTTGCACATGCACACAGGGCTGGCAGGAGCAGTGAGTGGGCTCCCTGGGCGGCCTCTCAGCCCACAAGCTGAGTCCTCGCTGAGACCTGCTGCTCCAGGCATCCTGGGCCCTTGTTCCTACCCTCCTCCTGGGCCCCCACCTTCTTCTGCCCTTCATGCGGTTGGCAGCGTGCCTCCCTCAGCTGTGGGGACACAAGGGCACTACTAAGAGAGTGGCAGGATCAGGCCTGCTATAGGCTCGCATGGGGAAAGGCTCTGACCCTGCTAACACCCAGGCCAGGCTGGAACCCTGTGCTGGGGCCTGGCTGGGTCTCTCAGGCCCAGCAGACGAGGGAGCCGAGGCCTCTGAGTGGTGGGCCCTCCGTCCTGCTGATGTTGGGAGCACGTGGTGGGCACTTCTGCAGAGCAACCACCAGCTGTTGGGTGCAGAAGGGGTAACCGTGGCCTCGGCCCTCACCGCCCACCTCCAGCCTGCCCAGCCTGAGGGATGGGGCAGCTCCCTCAGGGGCCTCACAGCACCAAGTGCAGCCACACTCTCGGGTCTCCTGCCTTTGCCCCAACAGCCTCAGGGCCCCCGTCTGCCTGGGGTTAAGGCTTCATGATGTCTGACTCCCTTCTTGGGGTATCCCACGCCCATCTGCCAGGCTGCCCTCCACCCACCGGGCCCTGCCTGGATCGGGAGGCCCCTTCCCCGCCATCGGGCATGCAAGCTGGGGCCAGTGTGTCCTCATTCAGTCCTGGACCGGGTGATCCAGCGACCATGGTCCTGTGCCCGCCTGGGCCCTGCAATCTTCTGCCTGAGGGTCCTCCAGTTACCAGGGGCGGTGCCAGGCCCCTCCCCAGTCACCTGGAATCTGCTGGGCCTTCCGAAGTTCAGCCCCTTCTCTCTGCCTTGTCTTCGCCTGGCTGGCAGCTCTCCTGACAAGTCACTCACATGCCGCACAGTGGGCTGAGGAGCAGGCACAGCCATCACCCATAGTCCACTCTAGACCATCTTTGTCACCCCAGAAACAAACCCTGGCCTTTTCCAGTCACCCCCTGCCCCCCGCCCCCTGACCCCCGACCCCTGCCCCCCGACCCCAACCCTGACTCAGCCAGTCATCCATTTCCTGTCTGGGTAGGTGTCCCCTCCTGGGCATTCCACATGAATGGACAGTCGTGCAGCTAGGACGTTCTGTAACCCTGGGGTCACCCCCTGGCCTAGACCTGTACCCAATGTTCCGAATGGTTTCATTCCTCCTTTCCTTATTTTTTCTCATTTTGTTTTGTTGAGACAAAGCTTTGCTATGCGGTTCAGGCTGGCCTTGAACCCACAGTGTTGCCCAGGCTGGCCTCCAATTTGAAGCATTCTTCCTGCCTCAGCCTCCCCAGTTCTGAGGTAGCGAGCATCCGACACTATGCCTGGCTCACATGTATCATTTCCACCTCAGGACAGCCTGAAGAAAGCATGCTAGGGCCATGACCAGAAGAAAAGCTACAGAGGCACTGATTGTTGGGGTTCCGGAATAGCTCCCCAGCAGGTGTGGGGAGCGGGCACCACTGATTCCATTCTGCAGATGAGGAAGCTGAGGCCCTGGGTATCCAGAAAATTAGTGGTACCTCCTAAAGGATGGAGATCTTTGGGTGCCCGGTTTTAGGGTATTTGTAAGCTAGAGAGGATTTTCCTAGATGGTACATTGGAAAGAGGGCAGAGGAAACACTTACCTTTCCTAAGCAGGCCGTTGAATGGTCCTGAGGTAGGCTGGACCCCAACTCTACTCTGCTGTGCGGTGCCAGCCACGACCCTGGCAGTGGGGGTCCCCACCCATCATGCAGGGTCAGAAACCAAGGTGCAGAGCTTGGGTTCTGTCCCAAGGCCATGTGGCCACCTGGGATGCCAGGGCCTTGCTCACCCCCGTGTCCCTCAGACAATAGAGGGGACTGGGGTGTCCCACAGGTGCCCCCTGGCCCCCGACACCTGTGGTCACACAGGGAGCCCTGGTGATGGTGTAACTGGGCCAGGGCTGTTTATATTTATTGTGCGGTGCTGGGGATGGATCCAGGGTCTCGTGAACACTAGACAAGCACTCACCACCGAGCACAGCCCAGCCCGGAGGGACAGAGGGATGGCATGGAGGCTGGGCTGTGCAGGACCTGGGAGCCACGTCCTCTGGCCCAGCCTCCCTGAGGCCCCATTGGGAAGTCGCCTTGTCGGGACCCAGGTGCAGGGTTCTCCCTCGGAGCAGCTGCGGCCAGGCAGACCCCAGCTGTGGCAGGGCGCATTCATTACCTGACACCGATCTGGCTGCTGGGCTGGTCCCTGAGCCGCCCTGCCTAGTGGTCGGCAGCTCCTGCTCCCGCCCTGTCCTCTCCTCCACAGCGCCCCTGGCCCAGAGCACCCAGGTGGGGTGGCCCCTCCTCTCGTGCTGACCCCGCCTCTCCTCACAGCCTGATTGCCACCTGCACCTGCACCTGCGCTGGGCAGACAACCCCTACGTGTCGGGCACCGTGCACACCAAGGACACCGCCCCCGGACTCATCATGGGCGCAGGTGGGTGCAGTGGCCCAGGGGAGCCTCCTGCACAGCGGGAAATGGGCAGTCAGGCAGGGGCCCGGGACCACGGTGTGTCCATGGGGGATGGCGCCTCAGGAGAACCCTGAGGAGGAGAATGCAGGGTGCCCCGTGGACATGGGGTGTGCACTGGCTGAGTGGAAGGAAGAAAGGATGCGTGGATGTGAGGATGGATGGGTGGGTGGAGGATACATGGGCCCTGGACGCCTTGTGAAAGAAAAGGTGTAGGGAAATGGATACAAGGGCGGGAGGGATGTGGATGACGTAGGTCATGGCTCACAGCTGTTGATTCCTGAGGAAAGTGAAAAGAAAGGCTTGCATGCAGGTGGAATATTTTTTTAAAAAACAAAAATATAGTTTCAGTATGTGTTTGTTCTCATGAAACTAGAACCGACTCTGGGGATGACTGCGTGTACTGATCAAATAACCCCATAGAGTAAGATCTGTGCGGGTCAGAAGAGTCATTCAGAGTCAGAAGCTGGGCCCTGCAGGAGGACTGCAGGTCCAGGGGGCACCGGGCAGGGTTCTGCATGCCCACCCTGCAGGCAGAGACCGTGTCCTTCTGCCCTGTCACAGCACAAGGGCACCGAGGCAAGGCCCGAGCTCCTGGGCGGCTGAACCATTGCTCTGCGGGCCCAGCCTCAGCTGCAGCAGAAGAGGGTGGCTGGGTGGCTACGGCGAAGGTGGTGGGGTTGGACCCTGACTCTGCGCGAATGGCACATCCATGCCACACCACCTCCCAGCGTGAGCTTGGCCCGGCCCCCGGCAGGCCCTCCAGGGATGTCTGGGACGAGCGAGTGGCCATGCAGGGAGGACAGGGCGAGCAGACTCAGGAAGGCGGACGGGTGTTTATAGTTGAGGAGGGGCCTGCTCCAAGGTCAGCGTCGGCTCCAACCTGGAGCTCCATCCTCTCCAGAGGAGCTCCTTGCACAGAGGGAAATGAGCGGCCAGGTAGGGGCCTGGGACCACAGTGTGTTTGTCAGAGGGCAGCGCCTCAGTTTCTCCAAGATGTAACTCTCATGGGGAAGCCTGAGTGGCACGGTGGAAGGGCCCTGAGGAGGAGAGCTGGTAACCTCATGGGGAACAGGAAGCAGAGGGGAGGAGCTGGGAGGGGTGGAGCCTTCTAGGCCACGCCCCAGGGACCGCCTCTCCCCCAGGGACCGCCTCTTTACGCTGAGCTCACTGCCGGCCCTGTGACCCAGTTACCCTCCCCAAGCCCCACCTCTGAACACGTGCAGCTTTAGCGGGGGCATCCAGGTATGAACCACACTGGGACGGTGCATCTACAGCCGCTGTCATGATTGGCTGGAACACAAATTCTTAACCAAAATACCAAAGGCACGGCGTCAGCATCACCGCTCCTTGGAGGGCTTTGAAGCCGGAAGTGAGTGTTCCAGCTCCCGAAAGGCTTTGCGCATCCGTGACAGGAAGTTGGCCCTGTCCACTGCTGTGGGGCCTCCATGCAGCCCCCACCCCCACTCCCTGCCTGGACGGGGTGCTGCATCCAAACCCCACTGGGCCCTTCCTCCTCCTGGCCAGGCACCTGCTCTTCGCACCTGGCCAGGTGAGCCTGTGGAAGGAAGAGGGTGGGGGTCCCCGAGCAGGATCAGGTTCCTCCTCTGCCCTGCAGGGGCCGAGCAGGCCTGACACACAGCGAGGCTGCTGCTAGGGGCTGGGATAGCAGCGCCCATATCTGGCGTCTGCAGACCCCACACACTTTCACCCCCTTCCCCGCAGCCTTCGCCCCCCGCCAGCTCTCAGTTGTCTCCCTGGGCTCAGCACAAGGTCACATCCTGCCTCAGTCCCTCCTTGGCCACTGTCCTTGCAGGTCCACCATCCCGGCTCTGAGTGGCCACCTTTACCCCACTGGCGGGGAGCTGCCAGGGAGCAGAGTGGGGCGCATGCAGCTCAGATTCCCAGGGCTCAGCACAGGGCAGGGCAGAGAGCTCAGGACGTGCTGGGTACATGCGGGATGGGTGCCTGAGTGGAGGAACTGAAGAAGTGGATGGTGGATGGATCGGGGGGGTGTATGGGTGGATGGAGGGACCTGGGCCCGAGCTCAGGAACCACAGCAGGTCCACATCAGGAGAGGATGGCAGGGACACTGACAGGAGGGTCTGGTGGTGGAGCTGGGACCGGGACACAGGCAACTTGCATACTGCCTGGCTCTGCTTGGTGAAGGGGGAGCAGTGGACCCCAAGAGCAACAACCTCTTCCTGTGGCTAGGTAACCTAGGCTCGCAGCTGGTGGAGTACAAGGAGGAGATGTACATCACAGCGGATTGTGGGCGCACCTGGCGGCAGGTAAGGCGGTGCGCACCTGTCCTGTCACCTGCCTGGCCCAGCCAAGTGGCCCCAGAGCGCTCAGTTCCCCCATGTCCTCTGTGGCCCAAGACTGGTGTCCCGGGGCCTGCAGGTGATGGCTCCTGCAGGCGGTAGTTAGGTGCACAGGACGCATGGGCAGTGGAAAAGGGGAGAAGGGCAGGTCTGGGGTCCAAGGGGAGTCTGGGTTGGGCCCTGGAGGACATCAGGGATGGGATCCAAAGTCACAGTGTGGCCAAGGTGAGGAAGGGAGAAGGATGCGTGTGGGACGGGGTGGGTGTCAGAGTCAGACCAGCAAGGCCAAGAAAGAAAGAGTCAGTCCAGGCGGCCCTGGCCAGGGCAGCTCCAGGACCCCTGGTCCCCAGCACAGCCCTTGCCCTGCCTTGGCTGCCGGCTCTTTTTGGGGTGCAGGTGGAGTGGGGCTACCTGGGCTCTGCACACGGCAGCAGCCATTTCAGTCCGGCCCATGGGGTGGCCAGGTGCGGCACCTCGTGGGGAAGGTGACACTGGACAAACATCTATCCCCGATATGCAAGGTCCACTGGCCACCTCAGCTTAAGGCCTCGCCATTTTTAATCACATGCAGGAAACAAGGCATTTTGAAAAGGGCAAAAGCGATTTATGGTATGATAATATTTATATTTCACTAAAACAGAGGCACCCAGGCCTTAAAGGTCAGCACCCGTCCATGGCCGGCAGCCCTGGGCAGAGTCCGGCTTCACGGACTGGGATGAGGCTGCAGCTGTCGCCCTCCCCGGTGGGACAACAGAGCTAGGCTGGGGGTGCAGGAGGGGCAGGGTGTCCGTGTGTGCCGACCAGGGTGTGCGTGTGTGCGTGTGTGGGGCAGGGTGTTCATACTGCGTCCAGCACTCACTGAGAGGAAGAGCAGGAAGACAAGGGCCCAGGGGGCTGCAGGGTAGCACACGGGGCAGCACGCACGCAGCGCCCTTCCAGCACTCACTGAGAGGAAGAGCAGGAAGACAAGGGCCCAGGGGGCTGCAGGGTAGCACACGGGGCAGCACGCAGGCGCAGCGCCCACATGGGGACACGTGGCACCTGGAGAACGGCAGGGGGTAAGGACTGGGCCTGGCGCACCTCAAAGCGTGGGCGGAGCCTTTATACACTCGGCCTGTGACTGGGGACAGTGGGAGCCCGGAGCCGGTGAACCCTGGGCCCGTAGGGACTCGGGCCGGGGACAGGGGACGCGTTGGCCCAGAGATGGGCCCTGGTGCTGGGGGCCATCAAAGCATAGAGAACCACAGCTCTGGTACTGGCAGGGCCCAGTCCCAGAGACCCCAAGCGAGGCAGAGCGGTGCTCTTCGGGCAACAGCTCGAGGCGCCCCTTCTGTCTTCCCCATGGTGGCCGTGACCAAAGCCCTCCACGCTGTCCTGGGGAGGGGTGGGGGGCTGAGGGCCCCACTGGGAGCCCCGTCACCCTTGGGGGGACCCTGGGAGAGCAGGTTAGGCCCCTGTGAGGTGGAGGTGGTCCTGAGAGGCAGCCTTGGCGCGGGATAGGCAGGTCGGCCCTTCTGCCAGAGCCCGCTCAGTCTCCAGAAGGGAGCCCCGCTCTTCGTGGGGTGGAAGGGGAGAGCACCTCCTGCAAGGGGCCCAGCCCGGACCCCTCACCATCTGCATCCATGCCCACACAAGGAAGCTTCTGGAACTTGCCCTGGGCTGCCCAGGCTCTGGGGGAGCCTCCCCATAGCTGTCTCAGCATACAGGGTCCATGGCCACTTTCCCTCCCAGGGGCGGGTGGTGCCCTTAGCTTGAGGACTCCTAACAGGCCCACAGAGTGGGGTTCAGCCATGGCCTGTTCTCACATCTGCCTGGGACATTCGGCCTGACCTAAAGACCCCTCCCCAGTAAAGAGGGAGGGAGGGAGGGAGGGAGCAGGACCCTGAGACTCATCCCCTGGCTCTGCCCCATTCTAAGGGACCTGTCTTCTTTGCTCAGCCAAAACTGTGCACAGGAGAGTTCCTGTGAGCAGTGGGGTATCACAGTGAGGCTGCTAACAGGGTGGAATTGTCTGGGGAAGAACTTGGCAGGTGGGGATACAGCATGTGTGGAGGTCCTGAGGTTGGCAGGCAGGGAAATAGGGTGTGCAGAGGTCCTGCGGTGCATTCAGGGAAGCAGCCAGAGTGGCTGGTGGTGGAAGATGGGCCTCTCCTGCAGAGTCCTGAGGCCATGGAAGGATTGGCACCGACTACAGGGGCCATGGTGGGCGAGAGGGGTTCTGCGCTGTTCTTGCCTCACACGCCCACTTCCCCAGCCTCCGCCTGGCCCTGCCCATCATACGCTGTCCTGCAGGTGTTCGAGGAGGAGCATCACATCCTCTATCTAGACCACGGCGGTGTGATTGTCGCCATCAAAGACACCTCCATCCCCCTGAAGATACTCAAGTGGGTGTGGGCCACGGGCCGGGTGGGAGGGAAGCAGCAGGGGACGCCCAGAGCAGCTCGCCGGGCGGGCAGTGGGACTGGGCGTCACCAGGGCTCCCCAGGGTGCAGCGGGAGCTTGGGCTGTGAGTGGAGAGGGGCCAGGTGCTGCTGGTAGGAAGCCAGCGTCTCAGGTCTGCGAAGCGCTGTCTGTGCCCTTCGCGGCCTGGCGGTGCCTGGTATCAGCGGGGCAGCCGGGGAGCAGGCCCAGGACACGCACTGAGGCCCGGAGACCTGGCTGTGGCTCTGGCGGGCGCAGGGGAGGAGGGGCTGGGGTGCAGCTGAGGCCCTCCCGCAGGTTCAGCGTGGACGAAGGTGTCACATGGAGCACGCACAACTTCACCGGCACCTCGGTGTTCGTAGACGGGCTGCTGAGCGAGCCGGGAGATGAGACGCTGGTCATGACGTGAGCGTCACAGGCGGGAGCCGGGCGGGGCCCCGCTGTCCCCCGCCCAGGACCCCAAGGCCGCAGCCCCTCCGGCTCCACAGT